GAAAGATATGCAGTACAAAGAGCAAATCAACGCACTCATCACTGAACACGAATCCATTGTGAATCAGTTGAAAAAAGTTAGTTGGAAACCTGGCGATTCAAGTTGCATCACATTGTTTTTATTTGAGTAGTGATTAAGCAATGTTTTGATTGATTATACCGGTTGGTAAATAATGTACCTTCAACTTTGCTATTAGCACATAGAAACTTTTTGAAAGATGTTCCGTCGAATACAAATTTTCATATTGTTCACTTTTTGAAAGCATCGAACATAGTGTTATTGAGAGGTGATAAAGTTGAGTTGGGATGGAATGAATAATCTATGTTGAGAAAGTGAACGTTTGAAAACAATTTAGGATTTTGAGAGGGTTTCATCGGAAAGAGATCAACTCAGCGAAAAGCTAGAGGCATCGATCAAAACGAACGCAAAGAAATTAGCTGAATTCGAGTCTCGTCTTAAAGATGTCAGCGGGGAACTGAATAATGAACGCAAACAGTCGCAGAACACTATTGTAATTTTTATTATTGTTGTTGTGTTATCATTATGGTTGTTGCTATAGTGATGGTTTTGTTATTATTATTAATCTATTATTATCAGTAGTTATTATATTATCATATTTATTGTTATTATTGTTTATTACTATGTTTAATTATTACTAGTAATAGTATTATTGACTCATTCGAATTTTACCATTTGATTTTGATTTGATTGAGAGAGAGAGAGTTTATTCGTTTGAGATGAAGCAAGGAGAAGAATTGAGTAAATTGCGATGCGAACAAGAGACGAGTAAGAAGACGGTTGATGCACTGAATGCGAAACTGAAAGAGAAGGAGAACGCTCTATCGGAGCTGATGAAGGAGCAGTGGATCGACAACGATCAGATCACAACCTTAAATGAACAGTTGACTCACTTGCAGAACACGTTCGTTTTTAGAGCAATTCTTTTCGTAGAGACAAGTTGAATATGGCCAACTTTTATTGTTGTTGTTGTTATCAATAATATCATTATTGTTTTTATTTTCATTATTATTGTTACCCGAATGGGAACAGGCTCATAGATTCAGAAAGATCCCTTTTTAGATTTTTGAATGTATCTTAATGAATATGTAAGTTCTGTAAAGTGAGAATTTGCATAAGGAGTCCTTCCCTTTTTTGGGTATTTGAATGAATCTGAACGAATATGTAAATTCTATAAAATGAGAATATATGATTATGTTAGGAAGCGATTTTGAAATTAGCATAGGAAGAAGGTGACGTTATCTAACAATTGTTGAATAGCAAAGTTAGTTGAGTGTCGAATTGTATGTGTGATTGGTTGATTAATGCGCTAGTTAATGCGAATTTGCTCATCGATTCTGCAGTGTTTTAAGTATTATTTATGTCTTGTTTATCTCGTCTTTTCACCG